TTTCCTGATGGTTTGCTCAGTGTTCCACTCTGACTTTAACAGGATACGCTAAACTGTTTCTGAATAATTTCAAATAAAAACAAGTGTTAAGAGCAGATGCTAAACTTGAAGCATTAAAGCTGCATGTTTGAGTCCAAGTGTCTGAGGTGCAAAAGAAAAACAAAACAGAGGAGAGACCTTTCTTTGTAGAATTTTTATATATCCGGGTGAGTAGGAGTGAATAAAGCAGTAACAGGAAGTGGAAAAAATAAATAAGAGGACCTTTTACCCGCAGTACTACTGTTACAAAAATACGATAAAGAATATGCGAATGGAACGAAGCACTGATACCATCATTCATCTGATATTACAGTAAGAAAGGCTCATCTCATGCTTCTTGGTGAAACTTGTGCGTTACGCTTGCTGTGAATGTTAAGGATGTTGCTGCAGAAGCCCCGCCCCTCCACAGCCAGCAGCTCCAGAGAGATATGACGAGTCAGCAGGATAGGTGGGCGGGCGGGGGGAGCCTCCAACAGCGGCCTCTCCCCTGCAGCTTCAGTCCAGATCCTGGACACGACGGCAGATCTCAGCTGTGAACTCAGAGCACTTTGCACTTCCTCCCAGGTCCTTCGTCAGAACCTGAAACACAAACACATCAGTGAGCAGCAGCTCTTATTTCACAGGAATCTGCTGCAACCAGCAGGTGGTGCTGCTGACAGCCAGCCTGGACTAAAGTGCAGACCCATCCACAGCCACTGGGTGGTGCTCAAACTGACTTCTGTTGAATAAGCCTCCTAAGGCGTAACAATGTATCAACTGTCATCTCAGAAGAGCTCAACAGGAAGTATCCAGCAGCCTCCACTCAGATTAAAAGCAGCCCTGTCAGCAGAGTGTCATGTTTCCCGTCTGCTTCGCTCCAAGATACAGGAGTGTGACAAACCATTAGAAAAAAAGATCATACAAAGTGTGATTTTAAGGAGGTCGTCCTCCAGAATGCACAACTGAAAGTGTAAGATTTTTCCCTGGCGGTCCTGGAGTAACTGCAGCTTCTCTCTGAGAGCATTTCAGGTGTCCTCAATATCATTCCAGCTGTTATTAATGACATTAGCAGAGGTTCTCAGACTCCACTAGAGTGGCTTTGGATGATTCACAATTGAAAATAATCCTATTTATTCTGGGCGTCGATGAAACCAACCAGATCGCCTGATACAGGCCGTTTAAGCTTCTCTGCTTTCTCTTGAGCTTTTCAGGCCACCTTGCTCGTGATTGGCTGCCCTTCATAAATAGAAGGTAGGTGGGTGGGGCTGCTAAGACACTGCCCTTTCTTTGTCATCATCCAAAACCAAGAGTAAAAATTCAGTGTTTGGATCAGTCGGAGCTTTTGGCACAACGAGTTACAGACACGCTGCTTTCATTGTTTGAAACTTCGACTTAAAGGAACAAAAATACTGGAGCCCTCCAAGGAGAGACTTCAGCCTCACCTTCTTGTCTCTGATGGTGTCAAAACAGGCCGTCTGGATCTTGTCGGCATGGTCATGCAGACCCATGTGACGCAGCATCATGACAGCACTCAGTAACAGGGCAGTGGGGTTCGCCAGGTCCATGCCGGCGATGTCAGGGGCGGTGCCGTGGACCTGCAGCACAAACACTCATTTTA